AATACCTCTAACACATCCACCCTACCCTTAGAGATCCTTGTCTTTACAGTCAAGAAAGAGCTGAATGTTTGATGCCATGTCAACCTGCTTCACAGAGCTACAGCGCTGCACATGGGGCGCACTGTGTTGCCATGGCAACGACTGCACCCGCCACTGCTGAGGGGGGAGGGTGCATAATCTACCCCATCCGTACCATCAGCTCATTTGCACAACCTGATATACATCTAGGTGTCCATAAATGATGTAATTATGGTTCTAAAATTCCTTATTTTTAATCCTTAAATCACTGAGGAATGCTGATACAGATCTTTAAAAATGTTTTATGACTTTCAGACATTTTCTGTTTTCTCCGTTAAACAGTTTCTCAGCAGTAAATCTGATTAAACCGTGTTTATCTGCATTTCAGTTTTTTCTTTCTTTAGATTAGGCACTATTTAGCATAATGTTAACATGAAAGGAAAACATTAAACTCAAAAAGACTAAATTTATGTTTAAATCCAAAGCTGATAAAGTTAGCTCCTGGAAGTAGCGTAGCATCCCATCTCCTGTACTGATCAGGAACAGAGGGATAAAACAGAAAGGAATTTAATGCATTTATGTTATCAAGAAATACGTTATTAACCTTTAACACATTATAGTTTAGTTGTTTACTACTTTAGGGAGGAAAAAAAACATCATTTAGGTCTTTTTTACACAATAAACCTGCTGATCTGGGTGTATATGTATTTGTAGAGATGAGCGATGGTACGGATGGGGTAGAGACACCTGTTCTCATCTTCTTCCTGTCCTTCTGATTTAAAAGCTGCTGATCCTTTAGACGCACTGCTGCCCCCCACTGAGGAGGAGTGGAACTGGACTGTTCCCCCTGCTGCCCTCTGGGAAGAGGCTTCCCAGCAATCAATGCAGGACCAGCAGGTTCTGCAGCAGCTTCTTCCCCACCGCCATCACACTGATGTCTCTAAATCACAGACCCTGCATCACCCTGATGACGCCAAACCAAAATACTGCATATTTGCACCAAACATTTATATTAATGCTCTGAACGTCCAGATCGATGCATTTTATCCTCCATGTTTTTTTCTCTCACGCTGTTTACATTTGATCACTGCTGAACTTTATGGAATAGAAATGGTTTGAAAGCTGAACAACACTAAATTTGTTTTATATTCAGTCTGTGTAGAAAATGGAATCCAAACATTTGAATTCTTAGGGATGAAACATCTGGTGCCACGTATGGATGAGAAACAACATTTCAGTTCAGACGCCCTAAAACCTCCTGAGCCTCTGGTGGGTCCAGAAGCTTCAGAACCCGTCAGCAGTTCCCTGGATGTTTAGACGGCTGCAGGTTCTGAGTAGAGATTAGCATCGCTAACACAGGTTCTGGCTGAGTGGGTCAGCCATAAAGGGCTGGAGGTGTTCAGCTTCTATGCTGAAGCCGCTGATCTACGATGGTTTCTGTGATCTATAAAGGGTGGATCTGCTCAGTAAACAGAAACTTCCTCATCAGAACAGATCTCGTTCCTTTCATACTTTACATTACCCCCCCACCCCACCCCCCCTCGCTGTGCTGGTAGGCGGGGTTTCGTGGCGACTCACCGACCACCATAATGTTGAACTCGAAGCCAGCCTTCATGGTCTTGCGCCTCATCTGGTCCAGGACCGCCTCGATGCCCACGTAGCCGAACAGGTCGGTTCCTCGGATTAATCCTGGAGCCGACGGGCAGAGCTGCAGCTTCACCTCGGCCTCCAGCTCCGACTCTCTCCTGCTCTCCTCTGTCTCCATCCCCTTCTCCTTCACAGGCTCCTCATGCTCCTCCATGCAGCTCTCCTTCTCCGACCTGGAGCTCTGGATGTTCTGCTCTCCGTCTCCTGTGGTGACATTCTGCTTCTCCCCTCTCTCCTCCATCAGGGCTGACGGCTCAAACAGCAACTGTTCGGCAGTTTCTGTGGAGACACAGGAGATGCTAAGACTCTGAGGGTCCGCCTCTACGGGAAGGTCTGAGTCTGGATGAAACATTTAACAAGCAGAGGTTTTTATTTGACATTCAGACTCTTTTCTCTGATTCCTCAGAAAGATTCTGGGGCTCTGCTCATTAAAGCCCAGCAGGTCGTCCAACTGAGACCAGCACTCCCACAGTAAAGCATGGAGTGGTCAGGATCATGCTGTGGGATGTCAGGAAACCAGGTCGTGATGACAGAAATGGGCTTTCCATCAATACAGATAGAGAGGTTTCAAATCAAGCT